TATCATCAATGAATCCCAAGTAATATAAAAAAACCTTTTAATAACTAATGTAATTATAGAATCAACTAAATAAATTATATAAATATTTAACATCAATTGTTATAACTGAAAAAATATTTAACATCATTTATACAAACTGATGTAAACTTTAGTTTCATTTTTCAGATGCGACACATATTAACATCAGTTATAATAAATGATTAAAATATTTACGTCGGTCTTTTTTATTGATACAAAATATTAGAGTCACCATTTTTAAAGTCACTCACAGAAATGATGTAATTTTAGTTCTATCAATAAAAAATGATGTAAACTAATAAAATACACAATCAGTCTTTTTTTTTTGGTAGTGACACCAAAAAAAGACCAACAACTTTTCATGCAATCACTTGCAAACCGACCTCAACTATCTACAGATTAAAGACCGGCAACTCCTTACAAGAGAATAACATAAGATCAAATCCATTGTTTCGTCTTGAAACCAACCCCCAAAACCATGAAAAAACCTTCGCGGAAGGCTAGCAGATGCATCTGCAGTGAACTACCATCTGAATGACGAACTCAAGCAGTTAAACATAGTCCATCTCTATACAACAAAACCAGAAAGAATAAAAAATGCAGAAAAACCAAGATCCAGAACTTAATCCATGTCAGCAAGACCTTAACTTTAAAAAATTTCCTATGCATGACTTGAAAATTGTTTTCACTAAATGAAATTGGTAATTTTTTGTTGTGAAAAAATAAAATGTAAACTTGACTATCTCACAAATTTTGAATTTTTGTCAGAAATCTTATTTTTTTTTTTAAACATTCTATATCTATTTCTCATTATTTTTTTAAATTTTCTCCTAATTATGTTTATGTGTAGGCTATTTATTTAATAATAAAAATATATATATGCTGACATAGTTTTTTTTTCTATCAACATCTTATAATAAACTATACAGTTCACAAATCCAAACTGAAAGAATAACGTTCACATACAAAACATCAAGCAAGTGTCGGGCACTACGTGCTAACATATCCGCTTTTGAGTTACTAAGGGGTGGAATGAAAGATAATGAGAAAGACGAAAAAGCTACCCTGCTTTGCTTCAATTCTTCGAAGTCGATTGTGAAAGCTAGCAATTTCGTCGGGTGACAAAGCCTACTACAATCTTCTTGTTAGCGCTTTGATCACGTTTTT